CCTGAAGTAACTGTGATGCTTCGAACTACTTGCAAACCATCATTAAACAAATATGCAGTAAGAGGCGGTGAAAGAGAAGACCTCCACTGAGTATAACTAAAGTATATCTGCAACACTTTTTTGTCTCGACATTAATCAACATGTGCTTGATATGTGTTTGCGTCTACACGGCTTTCTGCCTCCAACCAGTGAATCAGAGAAGGTTCAATGCTCTTTTTAGTAACAAAAACAGAGTAGACAACTCTCTACAAGAGCGATGTCAAACACGTAGCCCTCCAGAAGGTCCAGTTCAGCACCATGGATGGCTCTGCATTGTGTTCAGTCATTAATTATGTCATGTTTTTCAGTAAAACTGATATTTCTGTCGTAGTGTTGGTGCCTGGATTACTATAAAGAAGTAACAAAGTATTTTTGGATCTAGACACATTATTTGAAACATAAAGACATAAAATGCTATTGTTCTATATTTACAAATCCACTATATGTGAAGATTTTGTGCCTGTATAGCTCCACTGTGTACATATCATAGTAAAAATGTATTGACAGTAAATGAATGTGTCAAAACCTGAGATCTATTATTTAAAGCTGCCTCTTTTTTCCCCCCATTGATGTTCCTGTACTTCTTTACAATGTTCTCAAAGAAATTTAGAGGGATATGTTTCCTCCCCCCCCCCCATATAGGTTATTAAATTATAGCTTTAGCCCACTTGAGATCACACTGAGCTTTGTGTGTCCTATGATAACCCAGGACTTAATTCCAGGAAGTAGGTTTAACAAACAACTCTGAATTTGTTAACCATAAGTTAATGGAAAACCCACGTTTTCTGTTCTAGAGAGTTAACTTAAACTCTGAGTTAGTAACCAAGGTAACAGACTCTGCGAACTAAATCTGCTCACTGGCAGATTTTTGTCAACATAGTCTAAGTTTCTCTCTGACTCCTCCCCTCCTGCTGCACCCGAATCAGCTGACTGACCCTGACTGATTCATTTTCTCATTCGTAACGTTCTTTAAAATATTTAACTGATCGCTTTTACAATACTTCAGTTGTCAGTCTATATGGACAGAGAAAGCAATTACATAGCAGATTTATGATCAGCTCAGAATAAATTGCCTCCATGTTTCTAAGTATGTGACTCTATGGACAGTACTGCAGCTGTCAGCCAGTTTCCCTCCACTGTAAATATTTTTGGACTGTAACAATCACTCTTTAAAAACAACCTTATCTGTCAAAGCTTTAGAATAACTTACTGGTTAAGGATTATTTATTTGTTGTGCTGTTTTTGGTCACACGGATGGAAAAAAATGTTTGTCATACTCAAAGATGATTGATCTGTGATTAGCCTTTCTGAAAGTTCTCAAAGGTTCTCAAGTCTATTCTTAAAAAGTTTTTTGAACATGCTTCCTGTAATACGACCCTGCTCTACAGTGCATAAGGAGGGAAACAAACAAAACACAGGAAGTCCTAAAAACTGTGGTTCCTTTAATGGGCACATCCAGCTGGCTCCAGAAGAGCGTCCCAAAAGACTCCCACATTAACATGTCCAACTGTACAGCATTAAAAACCATGCTTACTGCGAGGTATAAAGCCTGTTTTGGCCTCTACTGACAGTTTCCCACCTAAACACAAAACCATAGTGTTTTTTTTTTCTCTTTTAAACATGTCCAACTGAATGCTGGAGTTAAAGGTGTAGCCACTTTAAATGACAGGTGTCCCAACACAGGAAACTGAAGCTGGCTGCTGTCTGGCAGGCTTTGGGTCAACAAACTGAACCTCTGAGTGTTTGTGCAAACTGTCCAGAAAGTTTCTGCTTCTCTGTGCGTGAAATTGTAGAGTTTTGTTAGTCTGGCGGCAGCAGATTTGCAAGTCTGTGGTACAGTTAATAGATGCAGATTGCTAACCAAGCCCGCTAGCTAGAGGATACCGCAACATGCCACTATCTCTCCCAAATATGGTCACATGTGGCTTCAAAAGATTAACACAGCTTAATACTGAGCCTTCAAAAAGACTCCAAACCAGTGTGCAACGTCTTTTATATACAGTCTTTGGTTTTAACTTTAAGTACACTGACACTTGAACGCAACTATTCCTACCTGTTGTGACTTGGTTAACTTCTAATCAGCATTTCAATAACTCACCGCCCTGCCTCTGTTTTGGTAAAAACTAACAAATGGAAACACACATTTTCAAAATCAGCAGTGACACACAAATGGTTTCACGTTAGTTGTGTCATACTTTCATGTGAAACCGTCCGTTCCTGTCATTCCGGGGAAACATGGTGTGTCAAACCCACCTCTTACCTTCCACGAAAAATAAATGGGAGGGGTGTAAGGCTTACGGCAAATTCAATTTTTCGGCACACGGCGACTACGATTAACTTTAGAGGGAGAACATGAGAAAATCCAAGAGGATTAATTGCATTCATATGCACTTGTCCCAACAGGCAGAGCAACAAAGGGCTTGCCGAGGCGTGCTTTCAGCCGCTACTCTAACATTAGATGTAAACGACCGTTGGAAGCTAACGCCGACACTGGAAATGTCATTATTAGCAGTGCTGTTTGTTCCTGTTTAAACGCTTTGACTCATCTAGGATCGCATACAAAAAAACAGTAAATATTACAGCATTAGTACACCTTATACTGAGCTATTAGGTGCTTTCATATTAAAAGCGTATTAATAATGACCGTTGACCCCCGACCCTAAGTTAAGTTTTAGCGATTGCAGCGTCACAAAAACAAATAAAAGAGCTGTAGAGTGCTATTCCACTCACCTCCAGGAAGAAATGCCTAGATTATAATTCATTAGCAGAGAGAATATATCCGAAATGCAACGATACTGTGGGTTAGTGTCCAACAGCGTGTCACTACTTCCCTCTTTCTGCTTCCAACATCCTTGAAGAAACCAGGGGCGGAGCTAGGACCCCCCGACACGGGCCTGAAAGAACAGGAGCCCGAGAAGCAGGGGCGGTGTCAGTATATGTGTTCTTGTCAAAGTCTCCACATACACAAAAACTAACCGAAATAATACTGGTTCCTTAAAAATGGAAATTAGTTTTACTCCTTGTAACTTTGGTCAATGTACCAATTCTTTTGCATGTGTTTCTTGAGGCTGGGATGTTATGAAGTTCAGCCTGTGTCATAGTTTCTTTTCTGAACTTCTTAAATTTTGAAACATAGTCACATAGAGATGGAGAGGACATGCTAACTCCACACAGAAAAAAGCCCCAGTCAGATGGTGGATGTGAATTCATGACCTTCTTGTTGTGAGGCAACTATCTATGTAGCTGTCCCTAATGAAATGACAGCTTAAATAAGAGTTTTGATATTTACTGGTATAGAAAAAGGTATTCCCTCCTACAAAAAAGAAAAAATAGCTTCCATTTATGCTTATTGTATTTACTTTACAAGGGAGTTGGGATGATGTCATTCAAATCAAATACATTTTTCTTGTTCTTCACATGATTACTGCCAAACCATTAAACGTCACACTTTGTGTGTGTGCATATTTAATGTTTGTCCCATACAAACATACCTTTTAGCTTACATTTAGAGCTTGTTGTGATACAATCACCATTTGGTGGCAGAGGGTGACAAAGATCATTTACTTGATCAGAAATAAATATAGTGGTGCTCACATGCAGCCATGAATATCATAGTGTTTTGAAACCTGATGTGAGTAGCAAGGTTTAAATCAACTGAATTCTCAATAATCCTCCTAACTCTTAGACTGACCATTATTTACAAAATGAACTTCAAGGTTAATTTAAATACATCGACCCCTGCAGGCCATTAAAAGAATACAGGTTTAATGTATTTCTGAATTAGCTTCACTTTTTATAACCAGAAAATACATCCATCTCTTACATGTGCATCATAATAATGGATGTTATAATATAGCTTATTATATAAATAGACATAAATCTATTTATCATAAAGTAAAAAATAATAAATAACTAAAGCTTTGAAATAAATATTTTGGAGTGCAATAGCACCCTAACCGTAGCCAAAATACCAAATAAGAAATACATAATAGTGGATACATAACAGTGGGCTACAAGCAGAATTTAGAAACACTTATAAAACTTTTAGTACATTAAAACTGTACTTCAGTAAAGTACTCAGAATAGAGTAATTGTAAAATTACATTATTACTGCAGCTGTCCATTGCCCCCTCACCACACTCATATGCATAGAGGTCATTTACTCCAACTCCTACACAAATATGCAGCATGCTTCATTGCACTGTCTGGTAGCTTATTCATTAGCAAACAAGCTGCTTATTCTACATTACAATCCTGTGATTTTAATAGCAATGTGTGTACATTACTTTGTACCCATTCAAAAATCAGTCTTAAGGAGTAGTGAACTACATTTTGCTGTAGTTGCTTTGTATTTGGACCAAAGTCATATTTGCATAGTAATTCAACAAGTTCAAAGACTAGTTTACTACTGAAATATTTCTCATTACTATGTAATTTGTTAACCATTAACAGATCAAGCTGTTGCCAATTTCAAAGTAGTAAGGAGTAATTCTGCAGCTGACGCACCTGCATTTCTGGATGTGTCTGATCAGTTTTATTTTATTATTTTGCAATGATGTTAAATTTTCGTTCGTGTAAACTGTAAATGTTTTTCCATGTAGGTTTGCAGTACTTCAGGTACTCGTGTAACATTGCCTACTATATAGCTCGAAAAACATTCCTTTCAACACTTAGGGAAAAATAATATATAGAAACCAAAAGATCAGTGTGAATACAGAATTTGCCTCTAAAGCAAAGTTAAGCTTCTTATTCTCCCAAAATATTTCTGCAAATACTTGCGAATATTCATTTAAAGGAACTCCAGGATTTTAGTGTCCAAACAGTTGGAAGTAAAAATAAGATACTGTTGGTCAAAGCCAGAAAATTCTGAACTGTATACATGTCACTCATTAATTTATTTCTCCAGATTTTTGTGGACTTTTTTGGTGGGTTTAAAAAACAAACAAACCCACACACAATGGTGATATTTCAGGTCATGTCTTTATTTGCCAACCATAAAAACTGTTCTTACTCATTGAAACATGTTTTTATTTTAGCTTTTAAAAAAGAAAAAAACAAAAACAAACCTCAAACAGCTTACTCTTATATAGTGATCATTGTGACCGTTTAACAAATCAAAATAGTTTTGTGAAAAAAACAAAACAAATGAAATGCAATTACTTGTGAGAATATTCTGAATTAGAGTCAAGAAGAAGAAAATAAAACTCCTCCCCACCCACAATGACTGCACAAATTAGAAGACCAGTGTTACGAACAACTTTGTCATCAGAACTTACAGCAGACCCAAACCATTAAATACAGGATCGAAACAGAAGGAGTCATGTGATAACATTCTGAATTAATGGTCAGGCAAATAATTATTATACAAATCATCATCGTCTACAGCGAGGTTTTAGATTTAAGCTCACTGCCCAACAAGTCATTTACAAAAAAAAAAATTAAAAAAATAAAAAAAAAAATAATTTTACTGCTTTGCAGCATCACTTAAACAATTGCACTCTGAGATAAAAGGAACATTTTAGTAAACAAATTCATTTTGATTTCTTAGATTGAAATATGTTAGAATAAATGAAAAAACAAAAAAAATCCATCCAGACCTTAACATAATCATGCTGAGCATTTACAGATACAGAGCCGATACTGTCAGAAACTGAAGCTTTGAGAATCCTAGCGTGCTGAACTTGATCTTCTCTCAGCCCCAAATTTTTTCCACCGTCTCAAATGTGCACACTGCCTCTCAGCTGTCCAGTGAGCTCAGCTCCTATTTATGGAGCACCAATACGGCGGACTTGCCATGTGACATAATGTTGGTCATTGTGTGGGAACAGATGCGGAATAAGAAATAAGAGAAGAGGCAGACAGATTCACCTTTTTGACTGAAATAAGACAACTGGAGGATTTAGGCAGTTAAAGGCTTGTGGGGACTACAGCTGGTGACGTGGGTTTACAGCCGACTGCAGCAGATGCTGTTAAAAACGGCCACATTTCTGGGGTACAGATGCTGAACATTTGATACTAAAACAAAATCACAGATTTCAAGTGAGCCATCAGTTAGCAGTGACTTTTACGATCATTTTATTACAATAAGTGACTGAAGAATCTCTCTTTATGAAAAAGTTTTTCAATCGAAAATTGTATCTGAAACAAACGGAAGTCTGCCATGTTATTGGTTGAATCTTGGTTGAATCACTGATGTGAAACTACTCCTTAAGCAGTACCATGATTGATAAATGTTATGGACAAACAAAAGCCTCTTCAAATAATTAAGAACAACAGTTTGTCACCCTGATTTTACCATTAGCCGATTGCCCACATTATGTAACAATCAGACATTCTGTACTTGCTAGAAGAGAGAGGGAGAAGAAAAAAGGAAATTTCAGGCATGCAGCAAAGAAATTGAGGGGGAAAAAAAAAAACTGACCACAAATAATACTTTGCAGTAGATGTTCTGTTCAAAAGGCAGGTCAGTCTAAAATTGTAAATGTGTGATTGTTAGTGTTAAAGCTATTCTTCAGGTCTCTCAGTGGGCTCACTTTATCAATTTTCAGTCTTGGTTGCATTTCCATTTCCCTTCATAAGACACATCTACTCACTTTAAATTCCCTTCTCTCACTCTCTACTATCTTATAGGGTTAGTTCGCCATCTACCATGGCCTTAAGAGGGCTAATATTTGAAATATACCAGCTGGTAGCTAGTAAAAAGCCTCATGGGATAGATTAGTACTGTTGAGCCTGCAGAGTCAAAGGGTCCGGCCAGGAGGTGAGGTTCATGGATCAGTTCACAGTTTGGACCGCAGAGGCTTCAGGTACTTGTGGAAAGATTCGTGTACCTGTAGGGAGGGGGAAAAAAAAGTTGCTGAAATAATGCATTGCATTGTACACAATGATCACACAAACACACAAACAGGTTTAGTGCGAGGTTGGATTTGCCAACATCTTCATTTTCATATAAAACACACTCGAGTTCCACGCTGCTGATAAATGCAAAGAGCAGCTTAGCATTAACACTGTGACCATACAACCTCGTGGGCTCGACTGACCTCTGTAGCATTGAGGGGGGATTTGCGAGCCCACTCGAACATGTGCTCATAAACATTCCCATCGTATCGTCCCAGGACCGAATTCAGCTTCTTGTCGTGGATGTCAAAGGCATCCGCCAGGGCCACAGCGTTGGGCCTCAGCTGAGCCAGCAGCTCCTTGATTCGACTAGAAATCTGCATCACCTGAGGCACGCTCAGCAGTCCGGCCTAGAAAAAGAATTTGAGAAAAACAAAAAACAAAAAAACCAAACCCACAACACCAGCAGCTGTAGAAATTTGGATCTTAGATCAGACCAAGCTGAGCAGTAGAAAGAGCCTTGAAACAGCACTGTTGTGCTTATCTGCTGACCACACACATGATGATTTTGCTTACCTGTAGGAAGTCTCCAGAGTTCTTTGTGATGCCATACAGGGTGTAGAGCAGAGCCAGGGTTGACAGCACTGAGTGTACTGCAGTATCAGCAACCTCCCCAAGCTTGTCAGTAAAGAGTTTCACTACAACATAGTGACAGTGGGCCTGAACACAAGAGAGAAAAAAAAAAAAGAATATACATATACACACATATATACATACATACACATACACGGGGCGATCGTGGCTCAGGAGTTGGGATTTCGCCTTGTAATCGGAAGGTTGCCGGTTCGAGCCCCGGCTCGGACAGTCTCGGTCGTTGTGTCCTTGGGCAAGACACTTCACTCATTGCCTACTGGTGGTGGTCAGAGGGCCCGGTGGCGCCAGTGTCCGGCAGCCTCGCCTCTGTCAGTGCGCCCCAGGGTGGCTGTGGCTACAATGTAGCTTGCCATCACCAGTGTGTGAATGTGTGTGTGAATGGGTGGATGACTGGATATGTAAAGTGCTTTGGGGTCCTTAGGGACTAGAAAAGCGCTATATAAATACAGGCCATTTACCATACACACACACACACACAAGAAACAGAAGAACCGAAGATACTGACTAGTAACAAACAACCTCCAACTTTAGGGCAATATTCAAAGGGTGACAGATGTTTTAGATATTCTTTTCAAGTAAAACCTTCCAAGGTTAGTCATAATTTATTCATAAAAAAGGACAATCAAGCAAAATTGAACTTACATTTGAGGCTCTGACCAGGTCAATGGCGCTGTTGTTCCAGGCATCCTCCTGACTCTTCCTGCGTTGCAGCTCCTGCTGGATGCTCTTCGCTGCCAGCTCCACTAGACTATAAACACAGAAACATAGCGTGCATTAAGCAACAAAGCCAGAATTACCTCCTTGTGGTTGTAGGTAAGCTGCAGTTTTCCATCCCAGTATGTCTAGACTAAAATGTGTACCGAATGCTCTTCAATGGATCAACATTAAAGATTAGCGCTGACCTACAGAGTTGCATACTGAATACAACTAAATGTGAGTACGATCAGTCTTCCCTTTTCGTTCACAATTATAGATCAAAGAGTGTTTCATGTCACACTAAAGTTGACTTTTAACCTTTTGTGATGGAAAACAAAAAAGATGAGCCCCTCCTATGACAGTAACTAGTGTTTGCATAATAGACTTAATAGATAAATAGCAGGTTTACACCAAAGACTTGGAGGAAGATAGTACACTAGTTAACCTACAACATTCAAGCTTCAATGAATACATCTAAAATTGGGCTTAGACAGGGATTATGAAGTCCTGGATTAAGGCAAGTAAGCTAAAAATGAGGTTTTATGCTGTGAAATAATGATAAAAAAAACAAACAAACAAACGTTTTTGTGGCATTGCTGATGTTATGACAGATACTGTAAGAGCGGTTTCTTCTTTGGTGGTAAACAAAACAAATGCAGGGGTACAAAGAGAGCATTTTACAACTTGGGGAGGCAGAGCAGCCACCAACCTTAAACACAAATTAACTGAATTAGTTTGAGTCCGAAACGATACAGTATGTGCGCCCTTTGGATGAAACGAGAAACTTCCAGGTGCCTCAAATAATCAGAAACACGTGGATTAAGATAAAAAGGGGAGATGAGAGAAGTTGCCTACGCTCCCTGACAAACACTGCTGAGTCCAAGTTAAACCTGCCTCCCTGATGGATTTATTTAATCTTCAATTTAGAGACGCTTTAATCCTCCCTCTTGCAATCGCCTTAGTTAGAGCAGGCAGAAATGTACGACTGAGCAAATGTCAGACTGTGCAAGTCCATTTTTAAGAAACACCAAACAAGCTTTTTAGTCTGGTTCTTGACTAAAGCCTCACCCCTCCCAAGCCTTACCTACCTGCCAACACAGAGTCAGTGTTTGACACCATAACACTCATTTAGTTTTTTCAGATATGTCAACTCCTCTTATGAAAAACTAGCCTTTTACTACTTTCTTTTCATCTGTTTAGTCCCAATACTTTAAGCATCATTTTCTTAACACTATTAAAAAAAAAAAAAAAAACAAAACAAAAAAAACAAAACACCCAATTATAAATGCATATTTGCCTTTTAACCCTCTGATGTTTAAAGTTGGACCACATTTTAAAAAAAACCCACACTTCCACCACAGTTGACACTCCTTGCCGGATGGGTTTCGATAATGACAGCTGCATATCATGTCACATGCAGGAAATGACCAACAACTGCAGGTGTAAGTCAGACTTGCACTAGCAAACTGAACTATTAAAGAGATCAGTAGTGACGACTGCAAAACTTGTTTTTAAAAAGAAAATACGGTGTATAACATTTAAGGAAGGACAACACTCAGTGGAAACCCATTCCCAAATATGAATGGGAATCAAAAAGCAACTTTGTCAGAGACCATCGTGATCATGGTTCTCAGTTGTGAAGTGGCAGCATGGAGAGGGCATATTTTACCACCCCGACTGCACTTTACTGTGTAGAAATGTTACTATACACAGTAAAATACACAGATTTCTTCTCTGTACACAGTTTAAAATTTTTTGTACACAACTTCTTTTATGGTTTTTCATTTTTCTAATATCTCCAATTGACTTTTCTTCCTGACTTCTTCCTTTTGCTGCTGGAGCGTGAATTTCCCCAGTGTGAAATCCAATGTTCAAGTTCCACCACCTTTTCTAATGTACGAACCCAGAAAACCTGTACAATTCTACTAGATATATAAATATTAAGGGCAAATAAAAGGAAACGGGTAATATTTCATGTAACAAGGTCATCATCTTTCCCACTGCTTTCTTACATGGCTGCTCGGAGTTTGTAGACCTCCGTCAGGCTAGTCAGGTCATTGATGTCAACCACTGTTGGCCTGGCAGCGACGGGCTGTGGCTGCACCCTCCGCACATCTGCTTCGTTCAGGTATGACACAATGCCGCTCAGCTGCTGGCCTGCCTTAGCCTGTTTGTAGCTCTTCACCAGGTATCTGCAGACACGAGTGCTCAGTTTAACAGTTAGATGCGCAAGATAGCTAGCAGCTGCGTTTCTATCAATTGAAAGCTTTACAGAAATATTTACTGTACCTATTAGAAATAAAAGTTAACATATCTTCATTTTTCAACTAACTGCATGTTTTAGTCATCGGTGTGAAGGTGAGTTTATGAACGGAGCTTATATGTTACACCACCAATACTGACACATAATTCAGCTTCAGTAGTTCTCTAATTTGTGGTGTTAAATGTCACTTTGCGTTACCTGGCAGTCTGCAGCATCATGACTGTATTCTCTCCTTCGTAGGTGCAGGTAGGGGTAAACTCAACATAAATGTCCGGCAAGGCACTGCTTCGAGAGTAACCGTGGCCACCACATGACATGCGGCACACCTCGATGGCTGAGGTCGCTTCCCATGAGGTGAAGGCCTTCAAACCCGCAGACAAGGCATGGAGCTGTGAATTAGAGAGCAAAGCAAGTGAAACAGATTAATTCATAGCTATGAATGAATTAAACTTAAGAAATGGGAACAAATATATGGTTCTGAGACAGGCTGGACTGAAAGTAAGTGGAAGAAAAAAAAAAAAAAAAAAAAAAAAAAAAAAGCAGTCTGTCCAAAGAAAGAGGACAGGCCACCATTCCACCAAAAACCAGCAACCGTGCCATCAAACAAAACCATATGCCACACAGATATGCTTCAGAAATGTCTGGTAATTGCTTTTCTAACATTTTGCTCAAAATTCCAAACAGATTTGTTTTTTTAAAATGTAAAGTGTAAAAATCTATTTAAAAAAAAAAAAAAAGAAAAAGTGTTTTTAAATGTTATGTGATTAATCTGTCCATTGAGCAATTAAGCTTTGCTGCCCCACATGAGGATGGCTGGTCAGTACCTCAGGCATCTCGCTGAAGTCTCCCTGGTTGATGTCTTCAGTAATGCGGTGGTAGGTCTGCCTCATGTACTGGCCAACAAAAGTGAAGGCATAGGCTGTGGCCAGCAGAGGGAACAGCTTGTACTGCTGTGTCTGATAGTCGAGGATCTGAGGCTCTGGCTCTCTGTGCAATAGAAACACAAAACTATTATTATTTTTTTTTTTTTCATGATTGAAACAGTGACGCAGACGAGTGAGACCACCGAGTTTAATGTCTCAGGTCTTTTTTTATAGTCACCTATGCAAAAGTTGCAGATGTGTCAATCCTAGCTGTTTGCACTGCAGTATACTTCACATCACATACCGCTGGGATTCATTTTTCCTTTATGCTGATATTCGGGCAAACTAGGAACCACTAGTAGAGTGAAGTACTTTAAAGTACTAGTGTAACGTTCAGCCTGTTCACTTGATTTATTTCAGCTCAACTACAAATTTGTTTTTACTCACTACTTTTGAGTCATGAGATGTTTGTGCAAATGTTTGCATTGACAGCGATCAACTGTCCACTGACCCTGGCCGTATTTCAGACTGGTGACGCACGGCACTGTAGCGGATGGCAATGGTGGAGGACTTTGCAAGGGCTCGAGCTGACTCGGCGACAATCATGGAGCGGATGAACACCATGGTGCCGTAGGTCAGCTTAGTACTTGGTGGTTTCACATAGGTTCCATCTGGCTCCACCTGGTGGACAGAGTCATATTGAAGCCCCACTTGAAATGTATTTATTCTGTATCCATATAACCACCAACAACACCAAGTGTCAATGCATATTACCAAATTGAATAAGTATTTTTTGAGTAATTCTTGCAAGGCATTTGCAAATGTAATCCCAATGAGGACACAATTTCTGACACTCATCAGTTAAACCACCACTGTTAGCACAGATTGGCGCTTGATTATAAAATAATCTGCATGGAGCAAAAGGACAAGAAATGGTTGAAACATGACCAATAACTGTGCATTATTGCAGTAACGGGGTATAATTTCAAGATCAGCTATTCCCTTCCCAAACATCACAAACAAAGAGCTGAGGTAAATTAATCCACTCATGGCGAATCACTGCTGTTAAAAAGACAAACTTTCATTTCACCTTGGCGTATTTCATCAGCATGTTTTCCCGTGGAATTCGTACGTTCTCCAATTTCAGGAAGCCGTTGTCAACTTCATTGAAGCCAAACTTGGGGCCAATGTCACCAACAACAATACCTGAGAGAGAAAGACAAACAAAGCTAGTAAGAGAAAAAGTGAGATGGACAGAAAGGATGATGAGGACTTACTTTACAAATATCACATTCAGAAAGTCATCACAGACTGTGGTTACCTGGCAGGGGTAAATGTGTGTTCATATCTCTGATGGGTACGATGAAAGCATGCAGACCATGGCAGTTTCCAAGAGTGTAAAGCTGTGCTAACACTATGGCATGGTTGGAGGTTTTCCCAACTAGAAAGAGAGGGTGAAATGGTTAAAAGCAAAACAAGAAAACCCCACAAACGCTATTCATGATGAAACCCCAGACCTAACGGAGTCAAAACACTTACGTCCTCCGGGCCACCACTTGATGGAGCTCACAGTGGGACTGTTCAAGACAAACTCTTGAGTGGCTGGATCATATGTGGCTGTGGTCTCCAGCCCTCTAAGGTGTGTGCCTGGAGTGATTCAATATGTCAAAGGCCACCAGACACACATGCAGAGAACACAGTTAAAAAGCAAAAGTAGTGCATCACAATGCTGGTTAGACATTAGCAGTCGATCTGATGATTTTTATGCAAAACTACTACTACTGTTAACAAACATGCCTAGACTAAAAATTACATTTACAGAACACAACTTTAGCATCAGAGATGGAAAAAAAATCTAAGTTTAAACTTATAATAAATTGACAGCACATTTGGCCCTTGAGACTTAAAATGGAGTATCCAGTATAAATTGACTTAAGTAAAATAGCTGAATCCACTTCTCTCCGAGAGAAGCTTGTAGGTGTTTGACAGATCTTAATTTTCAATCACAATTTTAAGATGATTCAGTTCTATGCTGTTTAAGCTGGATTTTACTGGTTTTTAGTTAAAGACATAACAGCCCATGCTGTTAAAGTATAGTAAAGATTATTAGTGAAGACAAGAAAACAAAACAAAAACACAAACCAGATAAGAAGAGCTACTGTGGAACAGGAGGGGTGGCCAGGGAGTAGAACAGCCAGTGAGAAACTACTCAATGTTTCTCTGTGTTTACATTTTTTTTTTAAAGTTCTGAAAGGAAAACTTTACACTTGTCCAGTGGCCCCGTGGACACAGATGTTATGTAAATGAATCATTAGTTTCAAGATTTTTTTTCTCTTTAACAAAGAAAACACTTCCACTGTTAGAGATATACTGGATGCATTTACCATCATCTAATCTTAAAGTAGCACAGTGGTTTAACTCTTACTTTGTTTGCAGCAGTTCTCTAGTTGACTAAATTTACCTAAATTCCTTGAAGTGTCTTTAAATAAACCACTTGTACACCAGCGCATATTTTGGTTGGTGAATATACATATTTGAATAATAAACCAGTGTTGAATGCCATGTGTAAAATAAGCAGCACTAAGTTCTTTCTTACTTTAAATTGCAACCAACCTGACTCAATAGTTTGTGGGAATATCGACAATAAAATTAAAAATGGCATCGTGTTCCTAACTGGCCTACTCTGTTTCGGACTTCATTTTACCGTGGCCCATCTCAGTCTGAGCGTAGGTGCCGATGATCTTTAGGGTCCAGGCGGGCATGAAGAAACGGTCCATTTGCTCTGGGGTGGCCTGGTTGAGTAGTGTGGGCAGGAACATCCCGAGATGAAGATCCAGGGGCTCTGGCCTGTCAGGGTGCACACATCTTGGCCACGCAAGGCAGTGGGAAATGGGGAAAAAAAATCAGGTTGTAATGTAGAAAGGGCGAGGAGAAGGGACGCAGATGGTGGAAATGATTATGAAGAGTTTAAGACAACGTTAGCAGAGATGAATGAGAAGATAATGATGCAGTTTTGTATCCGCAGAAAGAATTATTTACAGGAATTGAAATAGTGATGCAAGAATAAAAGACATGTGCACAAGCAGCAGAGAAAGAGGTGACAAAGACAAATTAAAACAATTTGTCAGCATGACATGCATATTGGAATTGCTGATTTGATCATGTGGTGAGAATCTAACTTCAAACTTCATAAATGCCATTTTCCAAAAGTTTGTCTTTAGTAGCTGGATCTACACATTTACCCATACCACTGACAGGGATGACCAAGACTTGAACTTTAGCCTACTCTCAGTTTGGGTTGCTCAGTTGGCAACAACTCAAAGCCACCAAAAATGTTTAGGGGAGTTGAACGGATACATAGATGTAAACTGGACCTGCTTGTTACAACGCTGACAGAATGTATATTAATTAAGTCTAAAGAGATAACTGGTAGTGTTATTTATATGCTCGTTTTGAATATGATACTAGTCACATGTTGGGAAATCAAGTTGGGATGGGGCAGCCAAAGTGGAACATTTAATTATTAACATGACTTTGTAGTTACAAAAACAAAACAAAAAAGGATAGTGCTTTCTTTGGTCCTGAGATCATTTACAATGGACAAAAATTGTTTAATGATTTTTGGAACCCATGGTTAGAGTGTCCTGCAGGCTAAAGAGGAGAAGGAACATTAAACAGTCCAGTCATTGAAAGGATTCAGTGTGTCGTGAAAAAAAATAAACAAAACCAAACAAACAAAAAAAAACCCCAAAACAAAACAGAAGCAGTTAGTTCCTAAACAAAGGAGCAAAAATGTGCCACCCCCAACTTAAATAAAATAGTGTAGCAGGCAGCAAATTCAAAATGAGCAACTGTTGCCAACACACAGTGCAGAGTTTTTATTTTTTTTTTGCATCATTTTCAGTGAATATGGGGTCTAAATCGCAAATTCCAGCAGTCTGATATTAGGAATAGCCTCACAAGAGTGTTAAGGCACCCTTGACCACAACTAAGTGTTCTCTCTAACTGACCCAGTGTAGGCTCAAACCAAACTGAACTGGTGAGTGAATACAGGGGTAAATATTAAGTGCAGCTTTGTGACAGATTTACAAATTCAAAATAACATCCACCAGGCTTTTTAACAGAAAGCCACCAAACAATAGCTGCTTGGCCTACATTCTCTCTCACATAGATTTGCTAATTTCTCAGATTACAAAGAGACATTCAGAGGCCTCATTATGAACTCATGAGCCACAAACTTCTGCAGCTTATAATGCTGCTTCTCTTACTCTTTCAAGACTTCATGAAAAAGACAACTGAACTAGTTTCATGTTTCTAGTTCCCATCATTTCAAATCCACAGGCCAAACAAAGACAGGCCATCTCTGATCAGTTATTCAGTCTTAATTGTTAAAATCATGCATAGAAAAGAGTGCAAATCAGGGGAGCAATCAAAATATACACAAGCTTCATAATCGGGGCATTATCAACATAGAAAGGGGAATGAAAGAGTCAGTGGGAAGGAAGTAGACTTAGAAACTGCTTATGGGAAAGTGTTGATGACATAAAACTAGTTTAATATTTAGGGTCTAAATGGGAACTTCTACTGAAGCTACGCTAATAGCATGGATAGATCTACATGTAGCGTCTTTTAGAAAAGCATGCAAACTGCAAACACAATCATAAGGACACACATGCAACTACTTTAGATTTTCTCAATATTTTGCTTCTGTCAAACACATACAAGAAATTAGAGTTATGGTTTTAAATGTTTTATTCTTTTGCTCAAATGTGACTGCTGATCATTTATCAGCAGAGGATGATAAAGTTTTGTCCAAGGGCCTTAATCAACATTCAGTAAGTTCAAAGCTAAGTCCAGGACTGACCGTGACCCATCTCAGTTTGGGCATAAGTGCCCATCACCCGGTAGGACTCTGCCAAAGGCAACCATTTCTTTTTTTGGTGATGGTCACATTGGCTGTGCAGGAATGGGATGAACATGGCAAAGTGTAGTCCCAAAGGCTCCTGATTGTTGCCTTTGACCATACTGGGTAAAGGGAAGTGTACACAAGTGTGGTTCAGACAATGTTAACTCGCATATTAGACATGGATAATTTGATTACATCCAATTGGAAGTTTTCTACATACATCAAGTTTGGATCTGTCAAACACATACAAGAAATCAGAGGTATTCTTGGTGTTAAACACTTTTCCCATCCTGCTTAAAATGGCATTTTGCCTGGCCTTAGAGATCATTTATTAAACTTTTTTGGGGAAAAATAAAAATTGTAAATTTGAAGCGTTTCAACACAGAATCATTAAGTTTTGTCTAAGGAACTCCAGAAAAATTAAGTTAATTTGTGTCAAAAGCTAAATCCAAGACTGACCGTGACCCATCTCAGTTTGGGCATATGTGCCCACCACCTGGAAGGACTCTGTCAGAGGCAACCATTTCTTTTTTTGCTGAGAGTCACACTGGCTGTGCATGGTTGGAAGGAACACCCCAAAATGTATTCCCATAGCCTCAGGGATGTTGCCTTTGACCATACTGGGTGAATACAAGGTCAGATTTACCATCAACTCAAATGTTAGATGACTGCATTATTTTATGACATCAAGTTTATTTCCTATATAGTGATATTAAGTTTGGATCTGTCAAACATACAAGAAGAGAGAGACACTCTGTTCAACAGTTCCCAGTTTTGCTAAAATAAAACAACCCCAAAATAGTCTCGTCTTCCCCAAAATATAACTTAGATTAAACTCTCAAAAGTTGCAAATTTGAGGCATTTTAGCACAGCATCATGAAGTTGTGTCTAAGGGTCTTAAATAGTCAAGCCAATAAGTTTAAAGTAAATCCAAGAATGACTGTGACCAGTTTGGCCAGATTTTACCAAGTGGAGCAACCCCCCCCCCCCACACACACACACAAAAAAAAGCAAAAATGCAAGTGAAGAGATCTAACAATACTCATTTTAAAACAAAGATGCATGGACTTTAATGTACAAAGTGTGCTAATTAGCCAGTCAAAAATAAATATACCCAATGAACCCAGTAAATAACCAAAACAGTGTGTGCATTAGGGCTGCCACAAACGATTATTTTGATAGTCGACTAGTCACCGATTATTTTTGCGATTAGTCGACTAATCAGATCATCATCCATTGGACGTAAAACGTACAGCTTATTGCACCAGCAGCATCTGCTCTTATATAACTATCATTAGCTTACAGCTTTAAGTGTTTAAGGTATGTGCTAACTAAAAATAAAGACAAGATGATAGTTTGTTTCAGTGAAGTTTAATAAACTCCTTGCTATCTAAAATATAACAGGACACTGGAGTATATTCTGGAGCATCTCACACTTCTGATAATCAGCTGTCTGCTTGACGTTTATTCAGCTGTGTAAAAACTATAACTTTAGTCTCAGCCAAACAGATTTACTCAGGAACAAATAAAATACTAAAAAAAAAAAAAAAAAAGCCAAACAATAACATTTTTAAGTTATCTAAGTGACTCATATGTTTAACCTGAGTAGCGAAAGACGGCGGTGGGTTTGAAAACGATTTGCCGGGAGTCCGGTGTTCTCACGGCTCTAGTTAGCCTCGCCCCCGGCTAGTGGGTAACAGACGTCTCCGAAAACGTCGGAGCGCTTTTGAAAATATGTGGCGTCTTGATAAACTGAGCAGATATTTGAGGTTTCCACAGCTACATTCCCACCTGAAAATATGTTAAACGTTTATTTTGTGACCCAGAAAGAATAATAAGAGTAATATTAAAACTAACTAGCTGCCGCCATTGTTGGAAACTGAGCTGGGCCGTGCTATGAATTCTGGGACACTGCTTCTTCTTCGGGGTTTAACGGCAGCTGGCATCCTTGTACATGCAGTGCTGCCATCTTCTGTTTCAATCCGTTATTACACTCTTAAATCCTACTACATATTCCTGCGTCTTTTGTGATCTTACAAAGCTTCAAACGACGCGTCGACTATTAAATCAGTCGTCAACAATTTTGATAGTCGACGTAATCGTGACTAGTCGACTAATCGTGGCAGCCCTAGTGTGCATGGAAATGCAGATTTTAAACATGTGCTTCTCTACAAAAGCATTTAACAATTCAGATGAACTGGAGGCAGTGGAAGGAAAACCAATAGGGAATGTTTGGTTTTCTTTTTTTCTTTTTTCTTTTTAAAAATGGGGCAACCCTCTTAGAAATTGCTGGGGACTGTGTGCAGATAAATCTGTACGATCTCTAGACAGATCCAACAGCTCAAGTGAAATACATGACAAACTATTACAGCGATTGTGTAGATAATGAACAAAGAACTTTGCTTACAGTCAGATCCTGACCCATCTGCTTTTTTAATAAGTGGAAACATTTTTCCCTGTATGTTATGCAATGTTGCAAGCCAAAGCCCCATTAAAAGCTGTATTTTGGCAGACATTTCAGTACAGCATGCATTATGTGGTAGTGGGGAAATTTTAAAACATTTAAAAATTAAAACAAACAGGTAACGTGTCATGTTGCAGAGCTCTGTGTGTATGCACCTCTGAGAAAAAGGCACAGAGTTGCTCTTGTGCTCTTTGCAGTTTTCATTGTGGATCAATCTCTATGCAGAAATATGACATTCAACCTGAAACACTCCAAATCCATCTGCTCACTGTTCCTCATCAAAATATGACAATAGTCTTCAGTAATATGAGGACCAGAAGAATGTGGGGCTCAGCTCTAAACATGCAGGGTGAGAACTCAGTGACGAGCTACAGATCATTTGGGGATTTTTGACTGTTAATAAATCTGGTCATGTGTCTTGACAACTCAAAGGATTTGTATGAATATGTGCAGTTTACAGTGGAAGTAAAGCTGCACTGCATGGTAGAGCTTTGAAGAATTGAGTTTAAGTAAATGCACACAGCTCATGAAGAAAGCGCACGATACGTGGCAGATTGCTGCCCTCTAACACAATTTTAATCTTTTGCGAACTTTGCTCCAGCTGCTTTTGTTGTTGACTTAGTTGCAAGACTGGTTTAAAAAAAAAAATCTACTTGATTGGGTTCAATTTGGAGGGGGGAGGGGGGCTCTTAACCTCCTAGGACCTGGCGTCCACATATGTGAACATCACATTTTGGGTTATTTAGACCAAAATACTAAAATTTGCTCTACAAGGGCCTGATATCCACTTACGAGGACATTATACTGCTACTGTTCTATCGAAATTTTAAACAAATATCCTCATAAGTGGCTCTCATTTTTCTCAAAAACAAAAATTAGGTAAAACTTTTTTTATTTTTTTTTAAGTAATTCTTTGTTTTTACATTCATCAGGTTCCAATCAGCCCAAATATCAAAGAGAAATTAAAAATGCATGCCGTGGAAGAGTTCGGGTCTTAGGAGGTTAATTAAGAAAACTATATTAGGGCCGTTCATGTAACATCTGTGACACTGAGATTATTGCTCGGGAACAAACATTGGTTTTCGTTGCTTTGCATATCGCACACGAGCTGACAGAGAAGGTGGGTGGATAATTTGATTACTGTCAAAGTACAGTCGGGGTGTAGTAACATTAACGTACACCACATACACGATACTTTACCTTTGAGCCTCACATCATTTGCTTCATAAGAACATTTCGTTAAGCCTTTTTATGAGTATACGCTGAAATGCACTGAGTGTGATAAGCCCCCCCTCCCCACTTATACTTCTACAGATGAACAGCATCTACACACAAACGAGTGGATTTAAACATTTGCAGGCTGTTGTTTAATAACAAACCCATTTACTTTAACAGTTGGCTTTATGAGCAGATTCCTCTACCACATACCTCTTATAGTGGTAGATCTCCTCTGGGTCAGCAATACCATACTCTCTGAGCTTCAGGATCATTTGGGCACTTTTTCTAACGGCTTGGTCATAGCGCTCACTGCGGGACAAGAAGTTTGGGTCTTCTTCCTTAAAGTCTGGGTCGCTGAAAACGAGTGACTCTACAGTGGAAATTCAAACATTCATGCATTAGTAAGGCAGCTACTAATTGAACAGGTATGGCACGCTGAAAAGGATGAATCCCACAAATACCTCAAGGCCAAACACATAGTAAGCCTGTTTCACCAGAATTGAGTAGGACACAACCACTCAGCATCCTATAATAAACTGTAAAGAAGTCATTCGCTTAGCAGAATGGTTTTAGTGTCCCCCCCCTATGTAAAAGACAGTAATTACATTTCTAAAAGAGGTCACATGGGAAGCTGGGATTGCTGCAAAGGTAACTCTACACATAAGCTGAGTTCAGTTCTGCTTAATATCAATAACTAATTCTTTCTCTTTATGAAGTTATTGGTGTGATTCTCCAGTCCCATGTGGCCCCTTGGGAAAATTAATTGTTCCCCCCTGTCCTGTGATCCCTGATGACACAAGAAACAGCTTCCGTTAGCTTGGCATTAGCAGTTTATCAGTTTACATGAGAGACACATTAACCTTTACTAAAAAAAAACACTGCAAATGCCCGTTTATTGATTTCCACAATGCCAAATTCCAGCTTGAATTTGGACATTGGAGTACCGGATGAAAGATTTCACTGTACATAAATATACCTCCATAGTAATCAGTATGCGCCTCAAGTTGTACGTGCTGAACTAACATTACACGGGACGTGTCAGCAGTTTGGGTTCATCTACCGCTGTCCACAATAAAAAAAAAAAAAGAGAAAAAAAAGAAGTGGGTTAAAGTGCATTGCTTCAGTACAGTGAAACGCATGAAACGTAATCATAAATATAAATGACACTAAAGCCGAATTTAGATTCGGATCGCATAAAAATCATTGTGGCACAGTCACCTTCAGAAATGCCACTTTAAACTAATAATTCTGAGACTGATATCTAAAACATATAAAAGTGTGTTGCACCCCGGACACTAAAAGTCACCTGCAGGTTATGAGAGCTGCTAACACCTTAGCTAACAGCCGATGGAAACACGGCTGTGCTAACATTAAACTTCTCTTACCTTCACGTGAGTGTTTTTTACTTAAATACAAGTACAGGTCCCATGATCGTATTAAATCAAAACAGTCAGCAGCACCAAACGCGTTAAAATAACATGTTTTGATCAAGGAAGACATTTACAATCTCACCAATTTCTCGCCTTCTTCTGGTCTTTTCTGGGCCACCGTCCAAAATAAAGGTCAGTTTTTCGACGTCAAACGTGGCATTTTTTCTTTCCTTAACGATATCAGGATTCATGGTTCCGTCTCAGACTGGAAACAATACTTACTACTTAAAACTCCTGCAAACTGACGGCTTCTCCTGAATCGGCCTCTTATCCACGCAGGCGCAGAGAGGCGGAGGTAAGCCACGTGACATGTAGCGCGGAAGTACCAAGTCGTCTTCAGTTAAACGACTCTTAAATTTTAAATATACAAACCAAACATTTTTTTTTAAGAAATCGGGATGCTGCCCTTAGCTGCAGTTTTTCATTTCCCCTGGGAAATAAACTCTGGAAGCGTGGAGGAAGGACAATCAGTCAGAACATTTGGCAGGTGGGTTTTGTTTCAAACTAGAAAAAAATCTTCCGTGTGTGGTTAATGAGATCACGAACAGCCAGTTGTGACAAGCATAATATCTTGTATATACCTGATCTAATGTGGTCAGAGAGGACAGAATCAGACTTATATTAGTAGAGCTACGACTTTTGGTTGTATTTCAGTAAATTCGATATTTAATTTAAATTTTCTAAAGCATCTGTTTGTTGATTTAGCCCACACACCTTTATTCTTCCATAGGCATTAAGAGGGTAAGTAGCAACCAGATGCTGAGAATCAAATGCAGTTGAGCTATTGACCATGGGTAAAATGTGAACTTTTGACAGTTTTCTGGCTAGGAGCATTCAGATGTCTTTTAACATGGTGCCAAGGAGGAAAAATATCAACAATGATCTTTGATCATTAAAGCAATCTTCACTGCTTATCTGTCTGAGATGGATTACAAGACCAACCAATCTAAAGTCCATCGTTCAATAGTGAATTATTCACAAGTGGAAAAATATTCAAGACCGTTGACAGTCTTCCCAGAGGTCCATGCCCCATCAAATTCAACTAAAGGTCAGCCGTCTAATGGCCAGAGAAATAGAAAAAATGTTAGTTGTCAAAGTATCTTGAACTCTACAGGCTTCAGTTAGCCTATTAAATATTAAAGTTCATGATCATACTATTAGAAAACAAGACCAAAGCGGAGATATTAGACTATAATGAACAGCACCACATTTGGCAAATCAAATGCAGCATGTCAGCACGAACATTATGGGCCATAATTCCTCCACAATGATATTAGACACCGATAAAGTCATTTGTCAGAAAACGATTACTTCACGTTACTGTTGTTAAAGGTCAAACCACCTTCAAGTTACTGAATCATGAGGTGTACTTAGTTTTTCACTGCATGTGTTACAGTTAGAGACTTATTATACTTTCACAAATTAAGGCAATAGGATGCAGTACAAGTAAAAGGTGTTTGTAAGATAGTTAAAGTCTGAAAAACTGTTATTAAAACCATACAGTTTCTGAAAATTTCCTCTTAAAAATGAAAATCTTTGAAAATGAACTTTCTCTGCACTCTAGGATTTTTGCTGTCTTCACTGACTGGCAGCAGCACTGAGGGTGGTAGATGTTGACTCAGGCAGAAATGACTGTGTAACTGACATTAATGATTTCATAGCGCTTCTCTGCTCATACACCTTTATTTATCGTTATCCCCTATTCTCCTGTTTGTCACCTAAAACGTAAGTAATTTATAAAGTTTACTTTTATAATTAAAAAGTAAACATATGTCTGAACACAGACAGAACACAGACAGTGGAAAAATGTCAGTCCTAGTTTTACTGGATCTCAGTGCAGCATTTGATACAGTTGACCACAACATATTACTCAAACGACTGGAGAACTGGACAGGTCTTTCAGGAACTGTACTAAACTGGTTCAAAACATACTTAGAAAACAGGAAATACTTTGTATCAATAGGTAACTTCACATCCGAGCAGACAAGTATCACATGTGGAGTTCCCCAAGGTTCCATCTTGGGACCCCTTCTGTTTAACATTTACATGCTCCCACTGGCACAGATTATAAAGAACAACAAAATAAACTACCACAGCTATGCAGATGACACACAAATATATATCACAATGTCACCAGGAGACCGAGGCCCTGTACAGGCTCTTGGTAAATGCATTGAGGAAATCAATGACTGGTTGTGCCACAATTTTCTCCAACTAAACAAAAACAAAACTGAAGTAATAGTCTTTGGCGCCAAAGAAAAACGATTACAGGTCACCAGAGAACTTCAATCTATACATCTAAAAACCACAAACCAGGCGAGAAATTTGGGTGTAGTGATGGATGCAGACCTAAACTTAGAAAAACACATTAAGACAATAACAAAATCAGCTTACTATCACCTCAAGAATATATCAAGGATAAAAGATCTGATGTCTCAACAGGACCTGGAAAAACTAGTCCATGCATTCATCTTTAGTAGGCTTGATTACTGTAACAGCATCTTTACAGGTCTACCTAAAAAATCAGTCAGACAACTACAGCTCATTCAGAACTCTGCTGCTCGAGTCCTCACTAAGACCAAAAAAGTGGACCACATCAGTCCAGCTCTGAAGTCTTTACACTGGCTGCCTGTCCGTCAGAGGATAGACTTTAAAGTTCTGATGCTGGTCTATAAAGCTCTGAATGGTTTAGGACCAAAATACATCAGTGACCTCCTGACCCAGTATGAACCTTCCAGATCCCTCAGGTCATCTGGATTTTATCAGTTCCCAGAGTCAGAACCAGACACGGAGAAGCTGCATTCAGCTTTTATGCTCCTTATATCTGGGACAAACTCCCAGAAAGCCTCAGATCAGCTGAAACACTCAGTTTATTTAAATCCAGGTTGAAGACTCACCTATTCTCAGCTGCATTTGAATAAAGCACCAAATCCACACTTGTAAGCTTAAATTTAAAAACTTACATTAACTACTGATTTTATCTGTTTTGATTTTATATACTGTTTTGTTTGTTTGTTAAGCTTAAATTTCAAAACTTACATTAACTACTGATTTTATCTACTGTTCTGATTTTATCTGTTTTAATTTAATATACTGTTTTGTTTGTTTGTTTGTTTGTTTGTTAAGTGGGTTTAGAGCTCTGGGTAGCTCCCCAGCTGGGTCTAGACTGGGTCTAGAGAGTATTTTAAATTCAGGGAATTTAAAATAGAAAGTAGCTCGTCCACAGAAGGACTGGTAGCTCCCCTTACGATAAGGGTTCAGATCGCGCGAACAGGTGTGAAATGTGTGTGTTTAGTTAGTTTGTTTGTTTGCTTGTTTTAATCAATTTTAAATCATGCTTTTTATTTGTTTTTGTTTCTAATGTCTCTGTAAAGCACTTTGAATCACCTTGTTGTTGAATTGTGCTATACAAATAAATTTGCCTTGCCTTGCCTTGCCTCGCCTTATTACTATCAATTTAAAAAACAAATGGAGCAGATTAAACATACAGAAGCTACTGTGTTGTTCACACTTTATGGCCCCATTGGCTGTTCATTAAACCACTAAAACATACACAGATCAGCGATTATATCTTCTACATAGATTTAGACCGTACTGCCCTGTTTACACACTTTTTAAAAAAAAATATTGAAGGGTAGCTTTTGTGAACCGGTTGTGTAAATGATTATTTAAATTGTAAATCATACAAAGTTACTCTTGTATAGCTCAATAACTAAACCACGGATCTGGAAATGAACCAAATTCACTTTAAAATGTTTTACTCATTTTTTTTCAGACTTGTATGCTATCAGCCTGAGGAGTCCAGGGCTACGCTGTCAGCACAGCATGCTTCTAAAGAGCACCGTGTGGTTGTCCACACCTTGTTTGTGGAGCCCTTCAACCCCATAATTGGAGCCCAGTACACTGTGCTGGGTGAGATAGAAAATGATGAGAGTAAGAGAAATATTTCACACAGACAGACAGTGTGCAAAAATGTTGCAGGGGACTGTTCAGATGTTAATTTACCCTCACATAACTTAAAAATGGGAAACATTAAGCAAGTGTCAGTTTGTCCTGTGTGTGGTTGACCTGATGCCAGCTTTAAATGCTATGTTTGTTTGTTTGCGTTTGTTTTGGAGCGACCGTGGCTCAGGGGGTTGGGAAGTGTTGGGAAGCGTCTGTAACCGGAAGGTCACTGGTTCGATCCCCGGGCTCTCTGTCCTGGTCGTTGTGTCCTTGGGCAAGACACTTTACCCTTCCGCCTACAGGTGATGGCCAGAGGGGCCGATGGCGCGATATGGCAGCTTCGCTTCTGCCCCAGGGCAGCTGTGGCTACAACCGCAACTTGCCTCCACCAGTGTGTGAATGTGAGAGTGAATGAATAGTGGTATTGTAAAGCGCTTTGGGTGCCTTGAAAAGCACTATATAAATCCAATCCATTATTATTATTTTGGGCAAATGTAAATTGCAGTTCAGTACCAGTGAAATTTCTTTGACTCTATTTAGCTTTATGCTGCCTTTTGAAAAATTTAATTCAGGGATGATGTTTTAGTGCTATCACCTGCCTGTGTTTGTAACTTCTTGTCCTACAGGAGTCGGTGCAATGGTCCGTGCCCGTGTGCTGAACTGTGTTGACGGTGTAAACATTGCCCTTCTGGAGAAAGCCATCACTGAACAAAGAAACTTCTTCACAGAGAGGGAGCGCAAACTGGGTGCACAACCTGCAGATGCAACATGATCAGGGACTTTATTCATGTGGTTTCTTTGGTCATCAGAGCTGCAGTGATGCCCCTTGCTGTGCTGTCTGAACAGTGAACTTAATAACTGTCTAAATTTGCGTAAAAGACACGGGTTCACTTCTGAGAGTTTAAATGACTGTCCTGATCTGGGATTTTTCTGCACTTGATCAAGGGATTGCTTTTAAACAGCTAAAGCCCCGCATTAGTGGGGCATTATTAGATTTTCTTGTAGGGTCATTAAAGAGTTACAAACAGATGGTTTGGGTTTATGGCTCATAAATATGTCACATTTTTAGTTTTGTCTGTGATTCTGAAGACTCAAGGTGATGATTCGGCATGGACACAGCTTTAAAGATATGAGCAAATATCCGTATGCATGTAATATGATAAAACTTCACTATATGTCCAAACATACTGGGCCATCAGGAGCAGCTTGGCCATGGAAACATCAGTGCCAGAAGAGGTTAGGATTCTGCAGCTGTTAAGCCAGCAGA